GGTAGTTTGTGTACACGTATGCGCGTTATGTACACGTGTACACGTGTGTGTGTGTGTGTACACACATATATATTTATACCAAACACACACACACAACATACACACCTACGTGTACACCCACACACAAACATGCACACACACACACAACATACACACCTACGTGTACACCCACACACAAACATGCACACACACACACAACATACACATCTACGTGTACACCCACACACAAACATGCACCCACACACACGTGTACACGTGGTCGGTTGTGTACACGTGTACACGTCTGTGCACACAACACAAATAAAAACCCTTAGTTACTCTTGCTCGCAGAAGAGCATCGTCAACATTATCGTCATCGCTGTCAGAATCGTTTGTATTGGCTTCACCATCTCTTAGAATGTTCCATGCATAATCGGGATTCATAAAGTCTTGAGTTACATCGACCCAAAATACGTTACTGTCTCCGGTAGCCTTATTGTCAAGCATAGCTCATGTATCACCCTCTTCTAGTGATACAAGCCCGTCGTAGTGTTTCTCATCCGTAATAATTGCACAGAATCGTGCAAATGCATTGTCAGTCTTTCGAAGCGTCATCGCCTCATCCTTCTGTTTTACTTGAATTTCTTGTTTGTCTTTCTTCACCTTTGTCTTGACTTTGTGCTTATTCTTTGGTGTTATGTTTAGAGGGGTCGAGAGCCAATTAGGAGAGCCAGTTGTCGCTCTATCATTATCATACAACGCCTGAATTATTCGCTGTTTGGACTGGACGCTAAAACCCTTCTTGTCATGTACATTATAAACATGCTCTCGTGAATACATAATTTTGCCTGCTGCATCACGTTTGACAGGTACTCCTCTAACGGTAAGACCTAGCATTTCTTCCCTTCATGTGTGTTCTTTGTACGCCGATTCACGAAGCCATGCTGAATAATTTGGCTGCTGTGTGCGCCTCGTTACACTCTTTGTCTCTCCTTGAAAATCTGTCTCTCCTTGCGAATCCGATGAAGTACCTGAAGAGGTCGAAGACGCTTGAGAAGTGAACGCCATCGATTGATTCGACGGCGGTGTGCTAGCATTCTGCATAGGATTGGTTTCAATCCCTGAGGAAGTCGATGCTGTGTGCTGCGTCTCCATAGTATTCGGGTTCGATGCTGCATCAGCCTGCTGTTGCGATGCCGACATGGTATAGTTTGTGAGTCAATAACACTTGTGCAATATGATTCCTTCATGTTCTTCGTTTTATGTTCGTATTCGACTATGTTCCCTCTGTACTGTTTCCATAGATAATTGAGTGTGGATCTACCTATAACCGACAACTTCATATATGTATGTGTGCACAATTGAATTGAGCGCTCAAAAGAGTGAAAACACACAACATTTGACACCACATTTGTAGAAGGGCGGTTTTCCATTCTACCAATGAAATGTTTTTACTTATTCTACGTCACAGTCGACAAACGTACTTTAACGGTACGTATTCTCGTTTTTCGTTAGCCTGTAACAACAAATTCTGAGCACCTTGTTGTTTAATGAATTTTCGAAAAACAAAAACTATGTGTTCTCATACGGATTTATTGAAAACTCCTCGTTAAGAACCACTCTAAGACCCCAGAGCCAGCCCTTCCACTGGCCCTTTTGTACACTGGTTCTAGCGCGGCTAAACCTACTAGTTTAGTTCTCTCATAGTAAACATCGTGTACCATAGGGTTTACTACATGAGTGTCTTTTATTTATTTTTGCCCGCTGAGGTATAAGTGCTGTGAGCGATGGTGTGTATATGCGTAGTAAGTTATGTGTCGTTTATTCTGGAGCGAGCTGTAAACTCTGTAAATTTTGGAAAATGTATACTGTAGTAGCGGACGGTTACACCGAGGCCTGGACAAGTCCGACCCTGGCTGGACCTGGACGGTCCCACCGATGGACATTGTGGACACCCGAGGACGGAACTCCACTTGTCACTCTGTGACACGAGGGCCAGGGCCCGGGACTCAGAGACTCCTAGTAGACTAAGACTACGGTGTCAGACTTTGACACCGATTCTTTGTACACTGGTTCTAGCGAGGCTAAACCATCCTATAAGAGCCATACCATATGTTCATGCATTGTATCATACATACTTGCCATTTTTGAAATAAATAAGATTATCCCTAAACCATCTAGCTAAGTTCCCCTATAGTAAACAACGTGTACAATTGAGTTTACTACAACTAAGCTCTACTAGCTATCCTAGGACAAGCCCAAGAACCCTAGATATGTCTCTCCCATCAACTCTTATTACTATCTTCAATTTTTTAATTTTTGTGTGAACAACTTAACCTCTCACACCATGGTTAGTTTTTCTCAAGCTAGCTCAACCTCGGCAATCCAATCCATCCCCACCTATTATAGGGAACGATTGAAATCAATCCTACTCTTCTTCTCCGCCTGGGAGAAAGCGAAATTCTCACGTCAATACACTCGCTTCCTGGTGGAAGATGGCTGGATTGATTTCTTGTTGAGGCACGTTGATTAAGTCATTCAAATTAAGATGATGGCTGAACTTGGCTTCAGAACCACGGTAGTGATCATTGAACGCTACCTGGTGGCACACAACGGTGCCTCTGCCCACCTCTGCCGCCCGGAAAATGTCTCCGAGGTTCTCGACCACGCTAGACATCTGAACTCCGCACATTACCGCGACGATACTACTAAGTTGCTCTACCTCTCTGATATTGTCTAGTACAGTGTTCTCCCTATCGTCTACTGCTTGGCGGAGGAAGTCAATCCTACGGTATTGTAAGATTCGGTC